TCTGCGTAGCATAGGGGTCCGGAAATGGTGAAAGATGCCTCCGTGGTGGGCGGAATTGCCAACCGACGTCTCTTGAAGTCGTAACCTTTATGGCGCTGAAAGTCAACGGCACTAGTGTGGGATTCCGAGGAGATCGATGAGGAGGGTTGCGGATTGTCCTCCAGGCCGTCTGCTGGAGTGTCCACAAACCGATCCACTAGTTCTTCGTCCCAACTTTCAAGTTGGTTCAACATTTTATCGATATATGGCTGTTTGTACCGCCTTACAATGACTGAGCGCTGGAAGTCCAGTTGTTTAAAGGTCTCTGATATGCGAAAGAAGAAAAAACAAGATAAGTAGATGACAAAGAAGGTAAAATTACTCTTGCTATGTAATACTACAACAGTAAATTCGAGGAGAATCGTGGAGGCAAGTGTTGTAAGTAAACGTGATGGGCGCTAAAAGACTACAGACGTCACCGAACGTGCGCACTGGTTGTATATACAAACCTTCGTCGAAAAAATGAATGGGGCGCTTACCAGAATCCCAAAATGACTGGCTAGAATGAGGGCTCATTTTGTTTGCAGAAAGTAACAGGGGAATGCCGGAGGTAGATCAACAATGACGGTGGATACTGAAAAGCGACCCTACTAGGTTTGGTAAATGGCCTTTTTCGACTAGTAATGTCTCCCACTAAAATTTGCGACTGAACCGTCCAAAAACTCCGCAATATCGCCAAAAACTTAGGACGCTAATAAAAACTTGCAAGGTTGGCAAAAATAGGCAACATGCGTTAGGCCTGTTCAAAACAGTAAGAAGTGTGTTTCAGCTTGTGAATCGACCAATTTTGGCGTTTGGTATAAGCTGAATTTTCGGATAAACGTACATGAAAAATGTCTTCGAAAATCCTGAAGATACTTTAATGACTTATTAGCTGTCATCACTCGGTGATAAAACAAACTCAGTCGCTAGCACACCCGACATCTAAACTAGAATCCGGTAAACTATCCAGCACTTGAAGTTCAACACCCTACTTACTTGACTACATTGCTCAGCGTATGTCAGATGGCTAGAGCAGTGGCCACACCCAAACCATTTCCTTGCTATAGTGAGTATGGAGACCGCCGAGTTTTTCACCACTGGTTCAAATGAATTATTCAAATCTTTAAAAAACACTTAAATACAATAGGCAGATTTCATAATAACTAGGATGGGACGACAGCCGTTCTAAAGAACCCCTTAGAATTCCTTACTTTCGCTCGTAACCTTTTATGCTAATATCCAATAACCAGGGTGCCGACTGCAAAACATAAAGGTGGCCGTGATATCAGTCAGTTTGCTTAAGAAACTGTAATCTTTACCCTGATGAGTTTCCAGGGCGATCTTAGCAGCCTCCATCTGCGCGCATTGAACCGATCGACCTGTTCCAACGGCAAGACGAACACCGCGGAAGAAAACGCCGACACGGTAGATTCTCTGGTTGCTGGGTCCACTGTGATCAAGGACCTGATATGAAAACAATCGAAAAAAAGAATTAGCAATACTCACAGCTTCCGGAAATTCAGGTGGAGATTTAAAACGAATCAACAAAAGAGTGATCACTACAAAAAAGAACACGAAGCTGACTTTTCTCGTTCAGAGATCACAAGCCTACCTTCGAACTATCGTAGAGCGGCTTATCAGTAAACCTAAAAATACTATCGTCGGTAGAATAAGTCTTAGGCCCGCCAGTAGCGAAAATCCCCCAGTCCAAAGGTCTGACTGATTTCGCGGTTGAAGGGTTGGTGCTTCATAAATGTGCAGTTAATGCGTGTTTAATATGTGATAAGTGCACAGTAGACAATAAATTAAAGCTGTTTGTAATTGTTTTACTGAACTAAAAATGTAGGTGAAAAGTTTGCAAACAGAGCAAAAAGGACCAAGAGAGACTCCTATTAGTTAGAAAAGAAAGTCTATAGGTCAAGAACACTATTAGAGCAACTCCTATTACTATAAGGCAGCCCTACAATTTATTCCTTCCAAATTGTTCTATTTGTGTTAGAACTGCATTCACTGATCGAGTTAGGG